ACAACCGAATATTCATCTGCTCAGTAAATCCAGTAGGACATTTCTCTGTTCATAGAATCAAAACTATATACATGAATCGTGCGAAACAGAAACCTACAAATCAATAGCTCAATCTATTCTAGGTTATTGGATCTTCCACTCCACCGATAATTCAAATCTGGGAAGATAACAAGAATGATCAGATGTTCATCCTTCAATTCTACATCTTCATTCATCTGAAGAACTCAGCAAACGCAGAGAACATTCTTATTCTACAGTTCGATTATCAACAAAGAAGATTCCTTATCGTTACGGCCAAGCAGGAGCCAGAGAAGGTTGTCCGGCACTCGATAAAGACTCATCAACAAATAATAATCTGAAAACGAATGCAGCCAATAATTTTATTCACGTACCTCAGTTCAAGAAGAGTATGATTGAAGACAAAATTGTATATACTTAAAGCCTATTCCATATGAATAAGAAAAAGATCTACATTCCAGATGGTACGAAGACGGTGTAGAATTGGATATTCCCGGATAGAAATGAAAAGAACAAAAACCGAACCAGAGAATGTTGTCCGACATCTTCAAAAAAACCCTGAGAGCTTACACTAACCCGACTGAACATTAGAATTTGCGAATTCCGTGTAGAGTGCAGAGAACCTGGACTACGATTGGTGAATGGCTGTTCAACAAAGCAATTTTGTCTGTGAACATTCAGAAGCAACCCCTCACACTAGAACTTCGATCGGTACAACGCAATCTGCGCGTCTTTTACTTCAAATCTTCGGAACAGCTGAGAGTTTGCGAGTGTCCCAACGGTCGGAATGTAAAGACAAAATTCATAAAATCGAAATATAAACATAGCAAAACATGGGAAATACAGAACAAAAATGACCAAAATTATTGAATTCTTATACTGTTGGTTCGACGCGAGATCAAAAGGGAGGGAAAATGAAATAATTCGAAAAGTATCTTCTGCAGTTATGCACACAGCTGTCTTACCGTACTTTTTGGGTTTTCTACGTTTTGGTCCGAAACCTACTAAAACTAGGAGGGACTTTGAAAAACATCAAGGCTTTGATTCTGGTGTTCCCAAATGAATTTTGAATGTTAATTAATATGAATTGTAGAATGAAACGGAAAAAAATGAATGGGACGGAGCGTGCAAAGTCGTCCTATAAAGTGCTTGACTATACATCGAAATAGAACGCCGCAAACTTACGTATAATGGAGAAAATGAGAAGAGCGACCGAAGGCAACCATACGTTTCATGGTGATTGTAAGAGAAAGGGATTAGTTTATAGGGGGGAGGGCGTAAGGATGAAACAAAGCTTACTAAATTACTCAAATACACTATCTCAACAGAAATTACCGATATTGAGAATCATTCCAACGATCTATATAACCCTTAACCCGTTTGTTTCTTTTTGGTAGATTTATTGTCCTAGATTGAGAAAGCTAGACAAGATACTTCTACAATACGATCTGCAGCATTAGCGTACTTTTTTCAAGGTGCAGTAACGATGAAGCTATCAATCTTGATTACATTCCTGTTTTGATACTCCATTATTTTACTTTGCGTCTTTTCTATTCGATTGTGAAGCGCTCCCGGAGCAGGTGCATGATAAGCTACTATAAACAATACTAACTTAACAAACATCTATCGCATAAGTAACTTTCTTGAACGTACATGTTTATATTAGGACATTAGAAGTGTAAATAGTTCAACGTTGAAAATTAGGAAGTCATGTCAATGCGGCATGGACTTGGATTTGAAGCATCATTGACACTACTGAACTTGCTCCAGGTGAACAGAACGTTCGCCTCACCATTTACATAATTAGTTTTCAGAATAGAGTTATCTACTGCTTGATCTCTCCAACGCACTCTCAAAACATGAAAGCAGCATTGATGATGGTTTTATTGCAATCGGTGTGATGTTATGCATATAGGAAAGATTTCATCAGTTTCGTTCGTTTTTTTATAACAATAACAATATCAAAACGACATGATAATGAGCAAACACGGAAGACTACTTAATGAGGTAAAAGGCTTGGAACGCTTGGCATATTATGAGGCACAAATAAATACCCATACTTGTGAAGTTCTCTTTGAGGAGGAGTATCTTAAAATTGAAAAGTTGTAGAGATTCTTGTTGACACGCTTATGTATCATTATCTAGCAGTCTGAAATAATCTTGATCAAGCTGATTAGGAAATGATAAAAGAGGGAATGCTTTTTCAGGAAGCATTGAGCAAGAATGCAGTGTGATTAGTGATATTATGAACCAAACTCACAAACAAAAAATCTTCGAAAAAAGATAACTAAAAATAACTCAGAAGAAGAAATAACCAAATATCCGAAGCCACCATGTTTCCATAAAAATAATAATTCTTACACGCTTTGCTTACTCTCGTATAAAGTTATATTACGTAGATAAGGATGAGAATAAACGCTGAAACGATTGTGATGGTTCTGCACCTCCCGGAACACGGATGATGTGGTAAAGCTTACAAGCAAATGACAACGTATCACCTAGCTAATTCTGATAAGTACAACCAAATGGTGAATTTTTACAAGATAAACAAAACTCTATATACAGTTAGTTAGTGATCTTTGGAAATTCTGAACTACTAGGTGATAATGGTTAGTTTGGTGCTTTTGAAGATGAAGATTAGGTGAGAAATATGGAATATGTAGAAGTGGAGTCGATACGACAAAGTTTGGTGAGGTGAAAAAAAGAAAAAAACTGCTTTTAAACCCACAGATCGATCAAAAAGTCCTGGAAAGCAGCTTTGGTTACAGCTTTGTCGGACTTCAATTTTGTTTTCCCCACCATGGATTTTGAGCATCTTTCTGGTTCTAAAAATAAAAATAACAAAATCATGAAAAATTAGACGAACCCAGTTCGCCCAGCAAAGGGCTAAGAGGCATAACTTTTGATAAAGGGCTTCTCATGTAGGCTCTCAAGTCTCCGTTTTCAGTCTCAGGCAAAAGTCTTGAAAACAAGTGTAAGGTTAAAGTATAATAGTGACTTACTCAGCCCGCAAACTCTCAATGAACATATGCAGTTCCCAATCACGATATCTTATGAATAGATCCGAGTCGTTGACTGTCTGACATGTTTCTTCTGGAAAAGTAGAATTACAATCAAGTTTCAAAAACATTCATGACGCACCTAAGTACTTTTGGAAAGCTTGTATAGACGTTTGCGAAGCAAAAAAGTTAGGAACTTTAAATGCTAACACAACACAAACTGTTGAAAAAAGTAATAGCCAATTCAGCATTTCTAGTCTCGGAGTTACATACCAAGATGAATAAGCGACACTGAAATTAAAAAATTAAATATGAAGAGTGAATAAGTGTGCAACCAGCTCAGCGCGAAAAAGAAATTTAAAATAAAACCGACAACTCATGACGCGAAGACGGTAAAATGAAAACAAACTTAGAAAGCGCCGAAAGGCTGTGAAGTATTGAAATGCCACAAAAAGTTGAATATTAACTAATGCTCGTGCTGGCTAATCAATGAAAAACCACATTCGACTATAGCAACTTAAAAAACAGAATGGGAATGGGAGTGGGAAAAAAACATCACGTGCAAAGAAAGTTGTAAATGTGATCACGAATGTTGAAAGATCTTTAACAACTTAATTGTAATGTCGATCAATTCAATATGAAAAAACGTTCAAAAAATATCTGTTTAGGTATTTCAAATCGATTTTTCAAAAGAATCCTATCAAGATCTTCGATTTGGTGAAAAATATTCTTAGAAATCGGAAAACAATTGATTCACCAGCTTCTTTTGTTCAATGAACTAGTATCAAACAATACAAGGTATATTTTTTGACACAGACGGTCTATTCCGACTTACTATATACGGTTGAATCGATCAGCTGTTCCTCTGCGTCACTAACAAGCAGAAACTGTCTGACTGTCTGCCCTCTCATTATTTCTCCCTCGAGATTCAAATATATATCTTCAAAGCGCTTATGGGTTTTTATTATAATGGCCCTTATTCTTCTTAGTGCAGTGATTATAATATTTTCTGTTCCATTAATTATTAAAGCTTTTGAGATATTTCAGTTATGATTTTGTTGTGAATTAAAAGAAAATCTCTAGAAATGTCCCTGAATTGTCTAACCGAAACAAAGGTTTGTGCTTGAAGTGTTTCTTATTTCCTGGTTTCTTGTAGGTTTATTATTACCTTGATGATAGTCCGACTCCATATAGCTCCGTATTAGTAACTTCGCCAGAAAACGTGACTTTAGGGGATTTTAAACGAAATTTTACTAAAAAAGGCTATCAATACTTTTGTAAAGAGTTGGATAAGGATATAGGATGGTATGTCGCTACGGAATTTTCTCAAACATTTTTGATCTATTTCAGTGAAGTGAAGAAAGAATTGACAGAAGATTCTTGTCGTTTACGGAAGAATGCTAATGGACTGTTTGAGCTCTATTTATTGAGTATCCCCGGACACGGAACTCTTCCCAGGCCCGGCACTCTCCCTAGAAGGGATAAGGAAATTGTAGCCTCTGAAAAGGTGTGATATACATTTTCTAAATGTTTTTATAAAGTTTTCGTAGGAGAGAAGGCGAAGAAACTCGACAGAATTAGATGGTCTCCATTATGGAATAGAAGGTCCTAGTTCATCTCATCCGGCCAGTAGCCTAGGAACTGTAATAAGCAGTGCGTTCGGAAAAACATTTTTATATTCGTCAACGTCGTATGTTGTAGGAAGAGCAGGGGAACATTTGGCTGAAGTTTATACTTCTAATTCTGAGGACCCATATCATTATGACCAATCTTCCAGGCATTTTCATTCACCTTTTCTCGAATAATGGCTTCTTTCAGACTAAGTGGCATGTCTTCCTCTTTATACGAGCCGTTAGGTATGAATAAAGGAGACAAAATTCGGAAAAGAAAACCACGAAGAGATCGCTTCAGAAAAGCTTATGTTCCCAGCACCATAGGCTCAGAGGAAAGCAGGTTTGTTTGCCGAACTGATACTATATTTCTGTATTCATTCACAGTGCAAGTCAAGAATTGGATAGGATTCTTGAAGTTAAAATCAACATGAAGAATGCTCCATATCTTGGTATATCTGTTGTGAGCTATGAAGGAGCTATTCTTGTCAGTGAGATCTTACCTGGTTTGAGCTGAACCTCATGGAATGATTTTTGATTCATTAACTTTGCAGATGGAGCAGTGAGCCTTGACGGTAGAATTGAAGTGGGAGATCAAATTATTCAAATTAATAATAACTCATTTGAAAATCTATCTGATACTAAAGCTGTGGCTCTACTTCGTGAAGTTGCTTCTGCGAAAAAGTATGAAATAACAAAAGTTAATTGTTATTTATAAGAAGTTTTAGACCATTCACTCTTTTTGTGGCTAAACCTCATCGTAATAATGGCTATGATCCTTTGGCTACATTAGCTTCAGAGACGCTACCGTTGGATATTTCTTTGTGGGTCAAAACTGCTGTGTAGGTTCCTGTTTATGATAAAAATATTCGATCTTGATGCTTACAGACAATGTTCTGAGGAAAACAAGCGCTTGCAAGAAATGGGTATACAAGATATTTCCCAAACCTTTGATGAGGGAACTTTAGGTATTATTGGTCAGGAATCTGATGATGAAGTAGGATGTGTTGAATCTTCCTTTTAACCTTTTATCTTAGGAAAGAGCGTTGTATGATCAGAGAAGGAATGGCATCCCCCATCATTTAAGAGAAGAGGCTCTTCGTCGCAGGGATAATGATCAAAACGGTGGGTGTATGCTGATAGATCTACTTAATTTTCGAAGTTTAGAGCATCAAATCTTTGAGAATCTTTCCATTGCAATAGACCCTATGCTTGTCGTTCGAGCAATGGCTAGACCGGACTCTGGGTTGCAAGTAAAGAACAGGAAGTGGCTGAAAATATCAGTACCTATGTCTTTCATCGGTAAATTCACATGTAACGCAGGTCGTTTCAAGTATAGTCAAATCATATAGGCCAGGGTTTGGTTGATTGGTTAGTTGAGCATATGACCGATTTGCCCGATAGGAAGACTGCAAAACAGTATGCCACCATGCTTTTGGATAAAGGTTACATAAAACATGTCGTAAGAAAGCATAAGTTCACGGAAAAATGTTACTATGTATTTGGAGGTAACAATTTCTTCTGAACTGTGATACTTGTTGTGTTCAGATTGTGTTCCTATTCGATCTGGAGCTGATAGTACTAGAGGTAGTGGTGGAACACTTCGACCGGAGGCTCCGACTGAAGTCACCTATCTTGGTTCTCCTGCTCCCCCAGGTTAGCATGCGTTGAATAACCAACTTTAGTTTATGCGTATAATTCTTAGGAATAAGACAGATAAGAAATCCGTTGCAAAATATTCCGCCTCCTCTCGCAGATCAGACATGGCCTATCAGTCCTATAACAATTTTTGATAAAACTAAAGGAGCTCGACGAAAAGATTGTGAAAGTCCAGTGGTGCGATTGTTAAATGTCGCTATAAAACGGTACATATTTATTTTCAGACAAACGATTATGCGTCTATGGTCGGAGGAGAGAGCACCACTTCATACGGTATGGGAATAGGCAGAGGGTATGCTTTAAGACAGCAACCACCTAATACTCCTTTAGTAGGTAGCGTAGCTCCTCCACATCCCAGTCCTTGTGAAACAGAGTTTGAGGACGATGATAAAAGGAGGATGCTGAAGAAATAGTTTTAGAGTAGCATAATTCTTTATATGTTCATGACACTCATATACGAGTATTCTGTAAGATGTCAATCATTCCTTGATGCATTACAATTTGGTAAAATATTCAGTTTTATATGGATTGTTTTAAAAGAATTGAATTTGTATACTTCCGTGGGAAGACTTTGTCGCCTTCTATGTGTAATAAGTTAATACTTTTGTTGTCTTGTCCTATTATCATAATCCTTTCAATAAAGGTGTTCGTACAACTCTATTGAAAAAAAAACGATTTGGAGAAGCTACCCTGTTTCACTGCAAAATGTTCTCTTATTGCATCTAGAGATGAGCAAGAATAATTGCTTCTGAAGGAAAATGATATTTATTCTTTTTACTTCTTTGATGTAATTACTGAAAATTTCTCTCTTTCATTGAACTTATTCTATATCACGTAACACTTCGTGCGACGTTTGATTACCGGGTAGGAAATCAGCGGCTGTAGAGAATCGAGATGAACAACGTATATGTATTCTCTTACATGTCAAATGATAATGTTTTTCAGAAAGTGACTATACTTCGAGGAATAGTAACATGATCTTTCTATACGCGCAACAGTTAAGATGCTCATGATTCCTTTTTTGGAATTCAAATACTCGTTTGATGGCTCCGCCACAGTCAGCTGAAAGATCCCTAACTTATTCATCACTTGAAGTTCAAAAGGCCAGCTGGTTTAGAAAAAAAGAACATTTTGTAGGATGAAAATACCAGAGATGGGAGGAATCTTTCCCAACATGGTGAGCAGAGAGCAGGTGCCATACAGTCATCGGTCCAATTCTTAGCATCTCTTCGCTAAATATATAATACGGAGAATAGTTTTGGAATCTCAGAGAGTAAGAGAATGAAATGAGAAACAATACACTTCCTCCGACAACATTGAAATGCCATGAACACTACAGAAAATTTTCGTTTATGAGATCCTTTTGTAAATTGAAGTGTTTAGAAGTTTGTTTGATTCGTAGTAATAAAAGTATACTATCAAACATTTTCACAGAACTGTCATTTAATCAATAATCATTCTACAACAACTATCATTACAGAAATCAATAATCATTCTACACTTTCGCGTATATTAGAGCTATTGTAATCGATCCATTTTCTTATACGGTCTATTTTCGCATTTTGTTTATTCCACAAACTTGTGTTAGATTGTCAGTTTTTTGAGTTTCCCTCGTACTTTCCATCGCCTATTACTATATCCAGTTTCTATCGCTTTTTGTTTTCTTATTAAAACCCTTCTTCCATTCTATGCATGTGCAGACGCAAAAAATTGAAGCTGATAGATTTCTTCATTTATTTCTGTTTTCTCATCTCTTTTTCAAATGATTCCCCATAGTTTCGGTTAGTTCGTCTGACGCAGTCCACTTGGAGCAGAAAGAAGCGAGTGGACGAAGAACTAGTTGAGTGTAGATCTCTTCTGCTTTGATGATGTCTTGTCTTCTTCTTTTTTCTTCCCATTTGATGTTCAGTCACCGTCGTTCTGTCGTTCAACGGGCTTGCAACCCTTATGACGAAGATGGGACGACGTCGATTGTCGATAGCGACAACAACATTTCTTCTGGGATACTACCAGAAAAATGTGTCAAACTTCTGACACCTGGGTTTTGAAGTTCCCTCTGATAGTTCATACATCTTCTAGGATTCCTAAAGTTCTAATTCGAACCTTCAATTCGTGCAGTGCAATATGGAGTCATCCTAAATTCATCTTCGTTTGCCTTGACCTCTTTATTGCCAAGAGCCAAATTGTATGAATTGAAAGATTTTCTTTTCAACTGAAGTCATGTTATCTTCTCGCACATACTTCGGTCCCTCATGTGCACTCTTGCGTATGTGCAATGCCTCAGTTTGCATAACTATGACGACCTTAGTTCTTCTTTAACCTCTTTAAACCTGTCCTCCCTTCACATATCTATCTCTTTCCAATCCACTATCCAAAATTTTCATCAATGAAACACTATCATCGTTACGTTGAGAACAAATTGTAAAAACCATCCAGGTTCCTCTGTGTTTCAAAGTTTTAAGAGTTTTTTCCACCTAGAACTCTCCCAGTTGGTTTCTACCTTTCTCTACTTCTGCATTTCGAAATTCTTCTTCGTATAGTCATGTCATGATGATTTGGTCAGAAGAAGGTCTTCGCGGGCAAGCTCGAGCCTTTCGAAAAACACGTTTTAAATGAACAGTACCTAATGTGGAGAGATGAATAGAAATTAGCGGACAAGAAGAAATACTCGAGTCACATCAATTCTTATTTCTGGTTAACTCGTTTCTCCTTTCTGGAATTTGGACAAAACCCCTTCTCAAAAAAGATTCGTAAGGAAAAAGAAAGAAATGCTGGAAATCTTTTAAGGAGCATGGTTCAGTCTCATAATGATTCATCTCTCTGAGAATGAAATAAAAGCGAATGAGTGGAAAAAAGAAATAGTCCTAGACAAGAGAAGAATACGAAATAGGAAGGGTGTGGAGGATACCGAGTGTATGAATAGAAAGAAGGATAGATGGATTAAGTGATAAAAGCTCTAAAACTGCCTAGCTAGGATTGAAAAAGTCAAAGGATCATCTGACTGTTTTTCGGTCTTCAAGCAATCACCTCAGAAATCTCTCAATGAAAGTTCTGCCGTATGAGCAGTCCGGTGGTTTCACACCTCAATCGACTACATGGTTTGATAGTTGACATTTTTTTTTAGAAAATATGATCAATACTGATTGCTCATCTGTTCCATTGTAGGCATGAGCGTTCTCTCTCACGCCTATGAGCACACAACACGAGAATTGGTTGAAGGTATATGAAACCATAATACCTTATAGTAGTTTGGACGTTTCAACTGAGAATATTTTCCACATCTGCTCTTGTTTTCGATTTATGTGCAGACAGTAAGAGTTGAGAAATGTTTCTTTATTTTCATAGAAATTATATACAATCTCTTTATCCGGTCTTTGTCTTTAGCACTCATTGTTCGCGCTGTTTCATTTTGGTTAAACTTATATGTATCTGTGTTTATCCAGCTGGTTCATAATTCCATCGTGAACACAAAAACATTTTGCTTTTTTTTGAAGAATTTAATGATAAATTTCTTGTTGGAAATATTTGTTTCCTTGCTGTATTCTCTGAGTGGAAACCGCGTTGCGAGCAAAGCGAGAAACAACCGCTTCAGGAGTCTGTATCAAGCGAAATGAAACTGTAAAACGCACGTGATTCGTGTAATACCGTGCTCTAACCGTCTAACACTCTCTGTATCAGCATTGTCTTTTTTCTGTATTAACTCCAGTTACCCTAACTCTTCATGTATGGAATTTAACACATGATCCATGTCAGTTTCTATACTTCATGAAATTATAATCCCCGAGCATGAAAGAGTATTCTATAGAGCCATATTGAATGATTATACCTCAATTTGATTCATGTCGGCGATGAGGCGATTCTGTTGATGTCTGTATGTGTATGTGTGGGAGATCTCATTTACCAGAGCAGGTTTCCGTCTGACCTTGTTTCCAAAGCTGCATAATAGTTGATAGTTGGAGCGAAAAAGGGCTTCAGACGTACCATCAACAGCACACAATCCAGCTAGTTCGTGGTGGACTAGACGGTGGAAATTTTGTAGTTGTAGGAAGTATGAAATTAAGATTTACTAACAAAAGGACTGTCTACTCATCAGAATTATACTATTTTCTCGTTTGTGTACACGTTGGCAGGGAATCGGTGGAAACTGATTTTATCGGTTGCTCATCTAAAAAGTTTGAAGAGTACATTTGACAGTTCAATGAGCCTATAGTAAAATTATCCTATGTATGCCCTTGAACAATTTCTACTCAGTCTCACCCTTTCTCTTACTCTTTTTCTCTTCTAGTCTCTCATTTTCTTTCTCTCTTTCTTCCACCTCTCTATCTCTATCTCTCTGTGTCTATCTCTCTTTCTCTTGATTCAGGATTTGGCGCTCTTTTCATCGAGAATCCTCTATCTATCCCTTCAATCGTCTCCAATTATTTCCTGATAATTACATGTTTTAGATATTCGTTTCAAATCAATTTAAACTTCACTAACTACCAATCCTGAAAATAACTCCACACCTCGAAATTAACAATCAATGTACAATGTAAGTTTTAGCATTTTTTGTTAGCTGAACTGTCTTTTCAATGTGCGCCCAGACCCTAGATAGCCTTGTGCCGTTTACATTCCTTTTCCTCTTAATCTCTGTCTCTCCATCAGACTGTAGCAAGGTCGTTGTCAGCACTCGGCATGTGCATTGACTCAACGTATCTCACAATCTTTTTCTCATTCATTTCGCTATTATTTTTTTAGACATGAACTAACTCGCTCTTTCTGTGACCTGTTCTCATTAGAAGACGCATGTCTCTCAGTTTGGGAGAAGAGCCAAGCTTGAGAAAGTTGTAAAAAGACTTTGTCGTTTCATTACAGTCTTATTCTCTTTTCTGGTCATACTTCTTCTTATACATTCTTCCGAAAAGTATTATTGCTTATAATATCTATATCAAGTTGCACATAGAACAGATTCTCTCTCTTTCACGTTACCTATCCTTCTATCTTCCTTCTTCTTTTTCTTTCCTCTTCCTACATTCCTGATTCATTCGTTCGTTGTGCTCGTTTCTTTATTTCCCTATCTTTCTTAAGTTGTCCTTTCCTAGTCCAGTTCTTTTAAACTCTTTTCGCTCAACTAATGTGTCGTCTGCCTTAGCATTATCATGACTACAGTCATCATCAACATCGTCGGCATTAAACTCGTATAAAATTATTTCCGTTTTACAAGCATGTTCTTTCGAATCACAACAATCATGAGAAGACAGCTCCGGTTTTTATGCTCTATGGACTGTCCTTGAATAACCTTTTTGTTCCTTAACCTCACCATGCAGACGAGCTCCCTATCTAAATGATAGGACTATCTCAATGTTCTCAAGAGCACACAGTCTCCATCGTTTGCTCATATGTATAACCAACAAAAGCTGCAATCAACGCCGCA